CCCCAAAACCCCAAAACCCCAAAACCCCAAAACCCCAAGTCAATATTAAAAAGTTGAAAAACAATTCAATATTATTAAATATGAGCAGGTTTAGCTATTCCAATAGAAAAAGCAGCAGTATAGAGCCCGTCTTTGTTTCAAAGTTCGAAAGCTTCTTTAAAGGTAAAAGCAGCTTCTCAATATATCATTTTGGTTCCTTCTTAATGCTAAAAATTGTTGATATGGATATGCATATTCATAATCCGTGCCACCATAAAACAACCTGAATATATGAAAATTGACAAATTATTGACTTCCTCTAAAGCACTGAATGTCTTACCAGTCTTTCTAGAAGAAATTGAAGAGTGTTCAAGCATATCGTCTGGAGACGACTTCAGATTCGAATACGAAGCGAAGCCCATCCCAAACTTTGATTTCAAAGTCTACAACATAAAATACTTAGTCCTCCTAAAAGAATGTAAAGAAGCGGTTTACAGCTTGGTAAAAACACTCAAAAGAGGCAAAAAGATTATTTTCAGCAGCCCTAAAATGTTTAAAGAGTACCTCTATCAGAAAATAGTGGTCAACAATTGATGAGAGTACTCAGAAATGACAGAAGGCAAACAAAAGGTAACCCTTTCTTGGATTCTTTCCAGAACTATGGAATTAGAAAGAAATTTTTATTAGAGCTTCGGTTATTGTTTCAGAAAGCTGTAGTAGCCCTTAAATATGAGAATAACTATCTCAGTCTCTTCCAAACAATAACTTACGAAGGATAGTGTGTTTGTGCCTGAAATTTTATTGCCTCTAATTCTTGTGTTTTTACAATCGTGTATTTAGGAATTTATGGAACTAAATCTACCACTGCATCCATAGAAGTATGGTAGTAGTTGATGCCAATTTTAAACTAAATCAAACCCTTCTAAGGCAAACAGTTAATACATTAATTTATAATGGCTGAAGAGAGGTTTGAGATTCTCTTTTAATTAAACCGCATCTAATACAGCTTTGATTCCTTAGTTTACGTTTCTAAAAATATATTCTCAATCACCAAATTTTGTATTAAAATAATTTTCAAAATAACACAGTTGCATTATCGTCATATATTGTATTCTCAGCTTTCAGAAAATTCTTGAAGGCTTGATATGAACTCTTGTATGAACATTTTTCCAAATTAAAGTTGGAAATATCCAAAAAATTCAAATTTCCAGTAAACTTTAAATCATATTTGCCTAAAATTTTAATAGGTCCTATTGCAGCTCCTCGAAGATGAGGACTTCTATAAGCAATTGAAAAAGAAGTTTCATAAAGAGAAGCTTCCTGCGAAGGTAAGCTCAAATTCTTCATCATTTCTGACTTTTAAATAGATTCTTAAAAGAATCAAACAGAAGGAGAATCAATACCTCCATCCAGATTCTTCCTTAAGCTCCATGGACAACTCGAAGTCATCTTGTGGAAAGAAAGAGAAAGTCATCAGCTCTAAAGTTGATAAAGTGCCTGAGATCTTTAAGCAAAGAAGGCAGTATACCAAGGCAAAAAGAAATAAAGTTCTCAGGAAGTCTAGCCTTTTCCAAGCTCTGGAGTGATTTTCTCCCAGCTTCAGGAAAAACAACTCTGATCACATAAATCAATCGATGGATTTCAACTCTATGGCAGTCAATGTCGAAAAGAAGCGTCCTAGTCTTCCTGAGCCTAAAGAAGTTATCAAAGAAAGACTACACCCAGATACCCATAATTGAAGAATCCTTAAAATGGTCGACTTTGTTGATAGATTTGAGAAGAAAGAACAACCAGATCTAGTGATCGAAAACCATCAAGGTGAACCTCAGAGAAGACAAAGGAGAAGAAAAATTACATGGAGAAAGAAAAGACAGTTCATCTTCTCCCCGAATCCTAAGTTGATCCCTGCTTGAGCAAATGTGACCAATAACATTCATGAATCTTTCATGAGTTACCACAAAAATAAGGATGGGAAGAAGTGCTTTAAAAGTAGGCTTAGATCAAAACTTTCAAAGAGACAAAAAGCAAATAATTTCATTATAAAGAGGAATCAAAATTTAAAAACGAGAAATAAGGTAAACCTCCTTCATCTTTTGGTCAGATAGTCTAATTGAAATGATTCATTTCTCTCAACTCAAATGTATACTGAAAGAACTTAAATTCTCCCTTAGATATGGGAAAACTATGATGAATTTTTATTACAAAAAGTCATGAATCACTCTCAAATTTAATTTATACCTTTCTCAAATAAAAGGAGGCTTAACATAAATATAGGAACTGCAAGAGACCTTGAATCTGAGTTTGCCCTCACCGCAATTGATTAGAAAGCCGTTCAGCTTCTAATCTCCGATGCTTGGCTGAAAGTGATTTATTCAGCCAGGTTCGATTTATATTTTACGTATTATCAACTCTTCATAAACCTAACCTCAACTTCGTTTGGATCTTTCATGTTAGATTCCTGGATCAGATGGAGTTAGGACTTGTAATTCATCTGAGTTATCCTTGAGAATATTCTTTCTATTAGTATTTACAAATGAAGTCCTAAGCATGTTAATCAACTTAGGTTTCAAAGAAGGTAGCATTTAGTACCTGCTTTTCTTTGATGCTAATTTAATGCCTATTAAGAGACTTATAATTTCAAGAAACGTTGATTGATTTAGTCTCTTCTTCACTTAAATGAATATTTGCTCTCACCTCTCTCTTCATTAGTTCATATTAATGCTCACCACATTGTGGAGGAGTGAGATAGGGTTATCAATTCTTAAATTAAGGGACTCGAAGGCTCATTTGGAAGATGATTCATGAACTCTTCAATACCTATCAGCATCTCAGGGGTTTTGGGGTTTTGGGGTTTTGGGGTTTTGGGG